GGATACATTTATTTTGCATTTCTCACAATTATATTGCCTTGCTCACATGTGTCCTAGACAGGGGAAGGCATTGCCTTCCAAAATTGCTTCCTCTAGCCCCACCCATGCTCCACTGGCATTCCCCAGAACAATGTTCCCTCTAATTTTTTTCTATGGGCAAAATAAATTTTGTTATGTGCACTGAGTCATGTGCTGATGTGGGATACATTTATTTTGCATTTCTCACAATTATATTGCCTTGCTCACATGTGTCCTAGACAGGGGAAGGCATTGCCTTCCAAAATTGCTTCCTCTAGCCCCACCCATGCTCCACTGGCATTCCCCAGAACAATGTTCCCTCTAATTTTTTTCTATGGGCAAAATAAATTTTGTTATGTGCACTGAGTCATGTGCTGATGTGCACCACCAATAGAAACACATGCTGCTGGCTGTGGGTGCTGTGGGCACTCTGCTAATCATCTGGGCAGTATTTGAATCTCTCCTGGGTGGCCTCACAAATTGCTCCAGACCCACTCCCCCAGCTTGCTGTTGTGATCCCAAAGGCAGAGGCAGGCCAGCTGGGAGCTGCACCCCCTGTGCACTGAGTCATGTGCTGATGTGCACCACCAATAGAAACACATGCTGCTGGCTGTGGGTGCTGTGGGCACTCTGCTAATCATCTGGGCAGTATTTGAATCTCTCCTGGGTGGCCTCACAAATTGCTCCAGACCCACTCCCCCAGCTTGCTGTTGTGATCCCAAAGGCAGAGGCAGGCCAGCTGGGAGCTGCACCCCCCAAATTTCCCCCACTGGTTGTCCGGAGCTGTGGGGCTGGAGGAACCTGGGGTCATGCCTCCCACTGGATCTCTGGGGATGATGGGAGGTTGGAATCCTACTCTGGGGCAGGGAGGGGGTAAGGGCCAGTAACCACATTAGGTGAGGGTGGGAGAGAAGGCTGGGCAGGTGCCTGCAGGCCACAGTGAGGGGGAAGCATGGGCTCTGGTAGGCAGATCTGGGGAGGACTTGCCTCCCCAACCCATGGAGTCATCCACTGTCCATGCTTGCTCACTGAGGGTATGTCTACACTACAACCCTAGTTCGAACTAGGATGGTTAATGTAGGCAACCGAAGTTGCAAATGAAGCCGGGATTTGAATTTCCCATGCTTCATTTGCATCTTGCCGGGCGCCGCCATTTTTAAATGTCCGCTAGTTTGGACTCCGTGCCCGCAGCTACACGCGGCACGGACTAGGTAGTTCGGATTAGGCTTCCTATTCTGAACTACCGGTATACCTCGTTCCACAGATATCGGGCAAATGCAGCTCTTGTTGGCCATGGATCAATGTTTGCGGCCAGTGGGGGTGATAGGAAATGGTGTCCCGGAGGTGAAGGTAGTTATAGCGGTATCAGCCAGCCAGGAATTAACCCTGGTGGGCCACTGCTTTTTTAATGCCCACTCTTGCATTACTGGGTGGTATAATGTCATAGCATAAGGTGTATAATTTTAATTCTGGAAATGTAATGCATCTAGGTAGAAGGGCCTGTATAAGCTTAAGCTAAATGAGGAGCTGGCCCATATGGATCCTGTCAGGGCTTAGTGTTTGCAGGAAAGTAGCAGATGCAAGCTTATAATTGGATTTTAAAACTCCAAATGGAAACAACTCTAGTGAATACAGTGAAGATACTGAGCAACATGTCAAAATTATGTCAATTGCAAAATAACTAAAATGAACTGGTCACTAGGGTTTGCCAAATATTATGGTATCCCTTGTGAACTGCAAGGTTGTCATCCCCATTAAAGCATTATGGACATTGACATGGAATTATGGAACATTTTACTTTTGGATTTTCTTTCATTGAAGTCTATGTGCAGAGAACTTTGTTTTCCAAAACTCATCCAAATTAAAACACAAAGTCAAATATTGACGAGGGTTAAAAAAAATCCAGAAATTGAATAACCTGATATGGTGTGTGTTGATGTAAGACTGTAGGTCACCTCATTGCAAAGAGTATAGCACTAACTTATGATAACATTTGGTAAATAGCTATTAATACATTATTCTTCCTTAAAATCACAGTTAATAGGTGAGCTAACTGAAGTTATGTTTGGTAGTCTTACACTCTAATCACTTGCATAAATACTTTCTTTGGCAGATCACTGTGACTATGCTGTAAAATTCCTTTGGCCCATACAGTAAACCTGCAATCAGATTGTGCTTGCACTGAAATAAAATTGCTACTTGCATGTCTGTAACACTCAAGCAATGGTTATCAGAAGTGATCTTACAAACAAGATTTTGAGCCTAGCAATATGGTGTCACTCTGGTGCTGCCTTGTAGTTGACCTCAGCTCAGTTAGCACATACCTTGGAAGATGTGTTCCTTGTTTCACTTAGAGAATGATCCCCCCTAATGTATTGTTCTGCCCACGTCGGCCTTAAAAGCAGCCAGAAGATCTGGGAGGATGATCCCACAGTAAAATTGAGTGAGTCTTAGGGCTGAGATTGGGATATGGGTAAGACATTTAGTGTATTTTGTTGTTTGAATTGGAGCATGAAGATAATGTAGACTGGAGGATAAAGATCTTAATTAAAGCAGTGTGCATTCTCCTATTAATCACCTGAGCTATTGAAGTAACTTACTTGAAGCTGTTCCAGATTCATGGGTTTGGGGCTAATTAAAAACAATCAGATAAGCAGCATGTATCATTTTTTTTAAACTAGTACTCAGGCTAGCCTTAGGGAGCTGGTGCTTTAGTCAATGTAGGAAGAGAAGCAGATATCTACACTACCTTCAATTCAGCTCATACAAACAAAGGAGGAGCATAAATTGGCTTCAGAAAGAAACAATTCTTCATCGAGTAGTGTCCCCGAGGGTGCTCCACTCTAGGTGCTGGGCTCGTCCCGGCGCCGCAAACCGGAGGAATTTTCACTAGCAGTTGCCCCCCTACCAGACCGCGCATGCGCAAGTGCCCCTTCGCGCCTTTCCTCTGAGCGCAGTCCAGTCTTGTCAGTTTCTCTCCAACCGTCCGCAGCCGCAGACGGAGTTAGATTAAGCTCCCTTCCCCCTCTCTGAGGGAAAAGGGAAATCTCTTAGTTAGTTAGTTTTCTTGTTACTACATAGATAGTTACCAGTTATAGTGTTAGTAGTTGTAGTCCCCTGTTTAAAAAAAAAAAAAAAAGAGAGAAAAGAAAAGAAAACCGTTTTTCCTTCAGCGGTCAGTCAGTGCCTTCCTGACTGAAATTGACAAAGAAATAAATCAGAAAGGGAGTCAGGATGCCAGGATTACCTGGCTTCAAGAAGTGCCTTCAGTGCCAGGAGGCTATCCCTGTCTCCGATGGACACTCCCGCTGTGTAAGGTGTCTCGGGGACGCTCACGTCCCAGCGAAGTGTAGCCATTGCGCGAAGCTGACAGCTCGCGCCAGAAGAGATCGGGAGCTGAGACTGAGGGTCCTTTTTTTTAATAAGGCCCTACAAGTTCCAGAAGTCTCCAAGCCCTGCTCGGCACCCAAAGATCACGCTGGGCAAGAGATCTCCAGCAGGACCCATAGGACGCCGGGCGGCAGTTCGGACAAACCGGGGAGCTCTGGCTGTGCGCCAAGACTCCCCGCAGACAAGTCGGGCAAGGGCCGTAGCTCCTCTGCCCCAGCG